CTGATGGCCAAATTGCGGGGCGGGGGGCTGTGCGCCGGGACACCAGGTCCCTTTGTAGGCATCAAGGTCATCAGCGAGGCCACCTAAACCAGGCTTATCCTGCCGCCCAAACCACCCTCCTTTAAACACGAGCGTTTTCCAAAACGCTGGCGTGGGACAGCCGCTCTGAGCGTTCGTTAGCTTGGCGGCAGCGCTGTTTTGCATGGTGGTGTCTCTGCATGCCAGGCAGGACAGATAACATTAAATCTCGTAGCCAGAAATGCAACCTGCATGCACAGAGGCGAGGAGCACAGGGCAGCAGAGAGGCTGTTTCCGCCCAGCTCCAGGAGCAGAGGTCAGGGGAAGCTGGTGGATGTTGGGACCCGGTTACAGCTCCAGTCCTTCAGGAGTGGCATGAACCGGGGACGAGGGGCTGGGAAATCCCGCATGGGGGTCAGGTTGCTGCTGGGGCAATGCCCGGGCTGACGGCAGGAGGTGTCAGGTCCCTGCCTGCCAGGCAGCTGCGTCACCTGACTGGGAACGCTGAGTTTGTCAGACCTCAGCTGCAGTCACCGGCCTTGGATAGAGCTGTGCATGGCCCAAACACCCCCTCCCTTCCCGGTCACAGCCACATCCCCAGGTCCCTGCAGGGTGAGCTCTCTTCCAAACCGTCTTCACGTGCATTGGGTCAGGCTCATGTCTGTAGGGTTTGTTTTCCAACCCTTGGGTCCTCCTCGAAGCACGAACATCCCAGCCAGATGCAGGGCAGCGGGTGCTCGGTGGAGACGTGCCTCCGCAGCCACCAGCCCCGGGAATGCCCCACAGACACCCCAGTCATGCCGCCCACCGTGTGTGGCAGGGGTCCCAGGTTATCATCCCCAGCGTCCCTGTGCACTGCAGAGCTGCTCGGGGCTGCACGAGGGTTTCCCCCACGGAGGCAGGGGATGCTGAGACAGGCAGCTTTGCAAAATCCAGGCATCCGATCTCCAGCCCCATGCTCTGGGCGCAGACCCGAGACCTTGGCATGAGCACGACGACATGGTGCTCGACAGGACCCACTGTCCGGGGTCCCGCTGGCCGACATGTGCTGCCATTTCAGTCCCTAATTCTCAGTGGAGGGATTCCCACGGCCGGCGCCCCGCCACGTGGCTGGACTCAGCCCCAGCCGATGGCACTCGCAGCGGGAGCCCCGTTAGAGCGTCAGTGGTGCCCTGGCAGGCTGTCAGCCTGCTCTGTGGCTTTCCAAGATTTGCCAAGAGCAAGCGGCCGGGGCTGTGGCATGCCAGGGACACCGGGCTGGGCTTTGGCAGGGACTGCCGCCTGCCCATGGCTCTCGCTGCCACCAAAGCTGTGCAGGAAGGTGCAGGCAGAGATGGGTGACAGCAAGGTGTGGGGCCAGCTGTGGGGACAATGCTCTTTGCAGCCTTGTCATCTCTCTCCAGCAGAATAGATATCTCTTAAAATTTTCTTTTTTCCTTAACTTCCTTGGCCTTTCACTCCTGCCAGCTGTCTGGGCAAGCCCGGTGTGTTGCTGAGCACACTAGTCAAGGACTTTTCAGCTTCCCATGCTCTACCAACTGGGAAGGCTGAAGGCTGACAAGAAGCTGGGAGGGGGCACAGCCAGGACGGCTGACCCCAACCGGC